GTCGGTCGAGTCGTTCAAAACTCTCTTCAGTCGTAGATTTAGTCGTTCGAAACTCTGCTGACGTGTTCAAAACTAAATTTGAACCGTTCGAAATTCTTCCGATACATCTTTTTCGTCGCTAGAAACGCTTATGAGACTTGCAACTTTTCGACAACTATTTTGAACGCTTCAAAACATTAAAAAAAAAAAAACATTGGAAATAAACTTTTTTGAACACTAACTTCTAAAATTGTTTAGAATGTGTTCGAAAACATTGTGCTGGCGTGCACACTAAAAGCTTATTAACATTTTTATTCATAGCTTACTGAGTTCTGTGTACGTGCTCTGCTTACGCATTTTTTAATACGCCATTATTAAAAAATGCGTAAACAGAGCACGTACGCAGAATTCAGCAAGCTATGAATAAAAGTGTTCATAAGCTTTCAGCAGTGCGTGTGTTGTGCGTGCACTACTACTGCGACGCTGAGAGCGACATGGCGGAGCATCGCTCTCAGCCAGGACCAGGCGGGGCCGTGTGGCTGAGGCCGTGGCTGTGGCCCAGGCCGTGGCTGTGGCCCAGGCCGTGGCTCAGGCCTCATCAGCGCAGCGTGCGGCGGCGGCTGACTGGCGCCGAGCTGTGCGAGCTGTGCGAGCTGCGCACGTGATGGGGCGGCGAATATTAATGGCAGTTTTAAAGTGGTAGTAAGAGTTGGGCGCGGCGGGCTCCAGGGGAGGGGGCTGCACAGCGCGGGGTGGCAGTCGAATGGCAGAGGGCGCGGCTGCCGCGCCTGTGGTACCTCCCGGCACAAAGGGGGAGAAGAGTCTGACAAGGAGGGAGAGAGAGACAGAGAGGGGGTCGGGGAGAGGGAGAGAGGGGAGGGGGAGTTGGAGACCGAGGTGGACACCGAGGTGGAGACGATTTTTTTTTGGACCGAGGAGGGTGAGTGAGGCTCTTAGTAGTGTTTCAATTGACATAGGGTAAGATGCCCTATGATGGCCACCTTAAGAATGGGCCTGCCCAATGATGGCCACCCCTTTTTCTTGTAATGTAGACAAAGATGTGAAGTAGTTTGTCTTATTATGCCTAAGTAGGGACCTTACTAGAACAGTACTTCAAGGCCAAGATTGTAAAGTGACCAGATTGGCTGGAAATCGAGAAAAGTGGCCATCAATGGACAGTGGCCACATTAGGGCACCTTACCCTA